AGTATCGACAGATGCAACACTACACCTCACCGTCACGATTGCCCTAGAGTCACACGACAGGCCTTTCCTACATAACTTTATGTGGTGAGGTAGTCGGTAAAACAATGTTACAATCGACTACATTACTTATTTTCGTTCATAATATAATAATATAATTTCAGTCTCGAAACATGCTAAGTGATGCAAAAGCTTGACCATTGCCCTCAGATCGGTAAGAGAATTTGATCAACTATAATATTTTGAGTTATAATATAGTATCCCGCATCAATTGCTTCCAAAATATAGGATTTTCCAATTTCTTATGATTACTTTTCAGGAGAAGCTAGATCCTATGTGCCATGGTAGCTAACAAACTAATTTCCTGTGTATAAATCAAAACGCTCATCCAGTTCATTTAACCGACTCACGAAAAATTCATCGTCAAGCTGGTATATGGACTATATTTATAAAAGATCAAATTAACGTCAAAAGGCAAGTAGGATGTCTTTCCAGCCTTAAATAAAATGAGGTGCATAGAAAGAACTTTTACCCGGTTATATTCCATTTTCTGATATTCTAAGTCCACCTTCATGTGTTAATTCGCCTTGCTGGATGTATCTTTCTTTCTTAGCTTCGGTAGCCTATCCACATGATTAATTTTGTTCCTAAATTGGGCAAACCATCCAATACTAAATTTAAAAATAAAAACAATTTGCGTATAGACGACTATTAATTAAAAAAATATGTTTATATAATGGCAAATATAATTAGGAAGCGAAAAAGAAAGTAAAGAATAAATCTATTTGTCTTAGATCAGCCCTTAAAGGGATGAATGCAAGGATGCAAATTAATCACTGAATCAACGAAGTAAATGCCGATGCTATCTTCTTTAGCTGCTAGTATTGAAGGATCAATCCACTAACATATCCGGCTTTTTGGCCAGAAGAAAGACATTTAATCAGGTTGCTTATAAAATTGCCTATCAATTCAGGTTTTATTCTTTGAAAAGTTAGCTAACGCTCAGCAGAAGGCTAGCAATTCTTAGTATACGGCCAAGGGAGGCAGCCAAATAAATTAAATGTATGCTTATTCTGAGACGGCCCAGAATATAGAAGCATGCTGTATTATTAAAAGGCCTGAACATTTTCTCACCTACCCAGCAATCGAGATGGTAGTTGCTGGGCCACTTAACTCTCAAATCCAAATACATAAGACGGATGATAAACTCGAGAGTCTCCCTCTCTTAATCAACTTATTGTCCCTTTCTACGTATGGATGCATTTTGTGAATTTGTTAAGGAAAAGTCTCTTAAGTTTATGGAATATAATAGATCTGATGAAATAAAAATTCAATTTTCTTTGCCATGTGGCTCTTTTTAAATATTTTGTTGATCCATAATTCAGAATAGGCAAGAAATTATTTGTCTTATGATAATTACCAAATTGAGCTTAAATTATAAATGGGTTGTCTTACTACCCTTATATTACAAAGCATATAACCCAGCTGATAGATTTACGATTTTTATAACTGCTCGCAATGCGTCTTTAGTACGCACTGAAATATCTCATTTTTTGATAATCAAATGAAGATTTTACAGTCAAATGTGAATAAAACTTTGAGCCTTTTAAAATAATAAAAGAAGCTAAAATCAAATTAAATGTATGTGGCTTATAAAAATGATGTATTCCAATCTTGAGGCTTCAGAGGTCTTTAAAAATGGATGGCATTGCCTCAATGATAAAAATGTTTGTATTAAAATTGATTTATCCTCTTTGATACGTACAAATAAAGGATTATAGCGAGAATCGGGCTTGAATTGAGTTAGACGCTAACTAAGTTTGCATAGAAAAAGAAAAAATCTGTGATAACTGCACGCAGCAATATATAGAATCTATTAATTGCTTTGAAATACATAATATAAGCGTAACTTCAGTCTACGGCAAATGATTCATAATTTTTATCTCCAAATTTTTTTCAGGTTCTGTCTATTGGTAAGGTAACTACTTTGAAAATAATAGTGACCTTTACTTAAGGTTGAGGGATAAATTAGGGCTCTTTTTATATGAGTTTATCTGTAAAGGTATAAAGCCTGGATTTAGACAGAAGCAACATATTAAATCGTTTTTTTCTTTGCACACAGGAGTTTCAGGCAGATTTGGTATCTGTTTAGAGTAGAAATAATTTTTATCTGCTAAATTTTTAATACCGCATACTCCTTTGCTTAAGGATAGCTGCTAATTAAGTGAGAATGTGGTATTATTATTACTGAATTATAACTTATAGCCTCAGAGTATTCTCATAACGAATATAAGTAAATAAATGTCCATTTTCGATTATAATGCGGCTAGCATTAGAAAATGTTACGCTTTCATCCATAATATTCTTTCATATTTTAATCCCGTATCTGTCCAGATTGGCTGGATGGCATCCTTTTGTTGAAGAGACAACGGGAAATATATTGGAAGACAAAATATTGGAGGCTGCGGTGGATTGGTCCGATGAACATCTAGCGAATGTCTCGTCCGAGGCGAAAGACTTCGTCAGCCGTCTTTTACAAAAATATCCCAGGTATACTGAGGCCAGCTTGTAAGCTAATTCTCAGTTTTTTTAGCTACGTTATAAGCTTAACTTTAGTGATAATTCAAAGAAAATTTGGCAATGGAAACTGGAAGCTAGTATAAGAAGCTTATGGAAACTGTCATTCTGAATAACTATCGATATTTAGTCCATAGACACGTTGTTCTGACAGACGCATTCGCGCTTGCTTTTTGATGGTGAAAAGTACCCAGTAAGAAATCTACCATTAAATGATTTTTGCCAGTATTATGCCATTTCCTAGGGCCATGAGATTCCAGATTTAAAACTTGATCCACAGCAAGAACTGAAATTTAGAGGACTGAAAAGAATCCTCATTATTATAGCAATTAAAATACGCTTTACTTTCTTTAGCTCAATTCAGACAGTTGGGAATAGTAAGGAGGAGTGACTCACATTGTAAATAAATAATTTCTTGACAGCCTTTAAATAATTTGCTTTGAGATAAAACACTTTTCATTGGTATATAAAATTCTTAACTAAATTATAAATACAGAAGAATTATAAGTATAAAATGTTTTAATACAAAATAAATTATATACTGGGTAGAAACGATTGAACAAGTCTTGATGATAATTATCTTTATTTAAAAAAAAATTAACTTTCAGTATGGGCGCAATCATAGGTTTACTAGTGAGCTACTGATATACTGGGTTTAAAAAGTCATAAAATCGAAAATACACTCCTAGGGATTTTATGCATAAAAGGTTTTTGTTAGACTTAATCTTCATCGTATTTTTTCAATCAAAATAGACCGGCTTTTGAATAAAACCAGCATTTTTTTATCTTTGCACATCTCACTATTATCATCTACATAGTTCGAGACCAACGGCAGAGTCGTGCCTTCTACATCCTTGGATTCGACAGACTAGTCCGATGACACGCAGTTTGGACACCAATAAACGTCGAATGAGGGAATACAAAAAGTACTACGAAGAACATGTGAGTCATTTCGATTCAGTTCTCACTTCTTATGCTATATTATCTTTTCAAGTATAATGATAGACTACACTTATGCCATAAATCCTTAATGAGCTCCCATTTGTATTATCGATGCTAGAAATAAAATGGCTGGCCTATAACTTTTAAAAATATTTTCAATATCACTAGATAATAAAAATCATATTCTCAGCACCTTGTTTCATTTAGTAGATAGGAAAAAACAACTTGAGGCAGCTATCTTATCAACTGGTAAGTTTTCGAAAATGTTTGCATAATGAAACCTTGAGCATGGCCATTATTCTCACAATTTTGGCTTTATAAATGCCGAAAAAACTTGAAACAGCATTATATCAAAGTGACTGAGTAGGTTTTTGAGATTACCAGTAAATCAGATATATGAGTTGTTTTAACCCTACTTCGTTTGAGGTGGTGAAGGACGGGTAATTGAAACTTCCAACAATGATACGAGTAGAGCTGACGTTTTTCATTGAATTCTACATAGCCTTGCTATGTCATCTGATTTACTGATGGTCTTGAAAACCTGCTCACTAACGAAAAAAGCAGTCGTCGATTGCTATAGCAAATATAGGCTAGCTTCATCGACAATCTCAACACAGAATCTGATATGGAAAATGTCTGACACCTTGAAATTCTCATCTGCCCTGTGACCCAATTGCTCTTATGGCAATGTGGCGAAGTTGTCGAGCCTATACGCTGCACTGTCATGGTTCAAATCTCGCTTAGGGTGTTGATAAGACATATGCGAGATCGAAGCTGAGGTTCGCCCCGGATTAGAACATTTTTTGGAAAAGCAAGACTATGTGAAATTCAATGGAAAATATCAGCTTTATATATATCATAGGTGGAAAATTCAACTACTAGTTCCTCATCACCTTAAACGAAATAGGGTAAAAACAACTCGTGTAAAATTATCTTAAAGCCTATGGATTCAAACATTTGGCATTTATTTTTTCATGAGAGTCATAGGCAGATTACTAATATAAAGGTAGACCAAAATAGACTAGAATATACATCAGTATATTATAATGTATTGAGCAAGTAAAGTATATATTCATATAAATATATACTAAATTATTTAATGTCATAATAGCATATAGTGTATGAAATTACTATTATTTGTAAGGCGGAATTTCATTTCGTATGAAAGTGAATGAAGAAGAGATTCGTTGGTAGATTTCAACAAATGAGGTAAACCATTCTCTGGAAATACTGATTGAATTAATTAGCATATATGATAGATTGCCTGAACTGGAGGTGATCCCTCATTTTGACCATATTATACCGCCTAAGAAAGATTGTCATCTTAGTAGGATTGCTAGATAGCTGTGTAATAACAATCTAATTATAACGGAAGTCGACAAAGGTGGAACAGTGATATTCATAGATAAGTCAAGTTATTTAGAAAAAAATGCTAGTTCATTTAAATGAAAAAGACACGTATAGACCTTTACTAAGAGACCCAACAGAAAGATTTAAGACTAGGCTAAAGGATGTCCTTAAGGTATGCGTAAGTAATGATGAAATGGAGAAGTGGAAAATGAATTCACTACTCCAGAGATGCAAGGGTCCCCAAGGCTTACGGTCTCCCTAAGGTTCACAAAGAGGGTGCCCCTGAAAGATTTATTTTAAATAATAAAGGAAGCATGATGCATAAAATCTTATGGCTTTTATGCATACAAATAAGGAACTCTATCAATTATTAGCTATATTCAGTTGAAAATTCGTATGATTATGTGAAATTGCTAGATCAGCAGACAATTTCAGAGGAGGATAAGTTAGTAAGCTTTGATGTTGTGTCCATGTACACAAACATTCCTGTGCAAGGAGCTATTCAAGCTCTGATAAAAACTCTGGAGAAGCACCCAGAGATAACACGCGGAATAAGGCTGAGCGTAGCTTCCATTATTAGACTTATTAACCTTTGCATAAGTACCACATATTTTACCTTTGATGGTAAGTTATACGAACAAACAAAAGGACTAGCGATGGGATCCTGCCTATCTCCCATCTTGGCAAACAATTTAAATGACAAGATTGGAGGAACACTTCCTACAGAGACAATACTAACCACTAAATTGTTGGTTAGATATATTGATGACTATTTTGTCATCGGGCCTCATGGTAAAGAATGTATAGATAGTTTCCTACTTTCCCTCAACCAGCGTGAAATGAACATTAGGTTCACAATAAAATGCAAGAG